TACAAAAGCCTCAACGGCACATAAAAACATAACACACCGCAGGACAGTCATAACAATACTGCAATATGATAGAAAACAAAACATGTTCAGATCCAAATCTACAATTTAATCATTAAAAAAAGAAAAAAAGGAAAACAGCCTACACCACTGAATTATCTCTGAAGGGATTAAAGGGACAGTCCAGCTAATTTCTCTCTGCTCTCTCTGTAGCAGCACAGACAATTTTCACGAAGAGTAAACTGCCGAGTCAGTAAACGCTCAGAACAGACGTCAACGGGCAGGTGCTGAAAGGGTTCTGAGTCAGCGGTTTTCTAACTTCTGGGAAACGTGCTGAGATTATCGTCTGTAGGGATGGAGCGTTCGCTGCAGACACAGCAGGCAGAGATCAGGCTGAAAAACTCTGAACTATCCCTTTAAATCAGATCCAGAATAAACAGAAATGTTTTTCTTTCGCATTTAGCTTCGGCCCTTAGTTAAAAGGAAGGACCTCGGCTGGACCGCTGAACTCATACGGACGCATTAATGATGAAATATCCTGAGGAAACGGCCGAGATGAGCTCTGATTCTAACGATGCAGCTTCAGCCTCACTAACGCTCCAGCACACCAACGCTAACATACCTAACACACACCGACAGAGTGAGGGAGAGAGAGAGAGAGAGAGAGAGAGAGAGAGAGAGAGAGACATAAAAGAACAACAGGAAAAGGAGGAGAATATCACTCTGACAGTAACACCCACACTGCGGGGGGCAGCAGCTCAACCCCCTGAAGGGAGAAGACCCCCGGGGGTCCACCGTAAGGCCAGAAAACTGTATGAAAAGTCTTTGGCTGTAGTTCAGCTGTAGTTAGGGAACCACAGTGTACGGCTGATACGGCAGCATCTTCTGCCGGTCATTAATCGCAAAAATCCACGATGGCTTCACAAAGCTCAGATTACCGTTCTCCATCAGAGCCTGAACACAGAGAGAGAGAGAGAGAGAGAGAGAGAGAGAGAGAGAGAAGAGAGAGAGAGAGAGAGAGAGGATATGTGATATACACCTATACATATATGTATACACACACACACACATATATAATATGTAATAGGCAGGCATTAATATGGAGTTGGTCCCCCTTTGCAGCTCTAACAGCTCCCACTCTTCTGGGAAGCTTCTACAGGATGTTGGAGAGTCTGTGGGAATTTCTGCCCATTCATCCAGAAGAGCATTAGTGAGGTCAGACACTGATGTTGGACGAGAGGGCCTGACTCACAATCTCCGTTCTAGTTCATCCCAAAGGTGTTGGTGGGGTTGAGGTCAGGGCTCTGTGAGGGTCAGTCAGGTTCTTCCACACCAAACTCACCCAGTCAGGCCTTTATGGAGCTGCTTTGTGCACTGGGGCTCAGTCATGCTGGAACAGGAAAGGTTCTTCCCCAAACTGTTCCACAAAGTTGGAAGTGTACAGTTGTCCAGAATGTCTTGGTGCTGAAGCTTTAAGATTCCCCTTCACTGGAACTGAGGGTTCTAGACCAACCCCTGAAAAACAGCCCCATATCATCATCCCTCCTCCACCAAACTCTACAGCTGGCACAGTGCGGTCAGGCAGGTAACGTTCTCCTGGCATTCGCCAAACCCAGACTCGTCCATCAGACTGACCGATAGAGAAGATTGGTCACTTCACAGAACACGTTTCCACTGCTCCAGAGTCCAGCGGCGGCGCTTTACTCCACTGTCTATCGAGACTGCAAGGCTATGAGCTTAAATTTATCCACCTGTTAGTAATGAGTGGCAGAAACACCTGAACTCAGTAATTAGGAGGTGTGCTCCAACACTTCTGTCTATGTTGTATAAATGTGTGTGGATATATATCATATTAAGAGCAGGTCTGGGAATCATTATTGTAATATTGGCCTTTGCGATACTGATATATGAAAAAAGGCTGCAATGCGCAAATGAGCCTGTGTGCTGTGAGCACTCTGACCAATCACAGATCAGCAGGCATGTTTTAACTGTAATACGCAACAATTATGTTGTGTTTACAAAATAATCACAACATAACAAATGTAATGTGGAACAGTTTCTCCAAAACTGACACGAATGAAATAGTAATAAAATAAAAATAAGCAGAATATTCAGATTTTTTCTCCTGACTGCATGAAGGAACACAAAACTCTCAGCTAACAGAAGATAAAATAAAATAGAGCTCTTACATCCTCAAAAGAGTCGTCCCACCCCTGACTGGTGATGACAAACTGAACGTTCTCACCCATGTAGTCCTCCACAGCTCTGAGAGAGAGAGAGAGAGAGAGAGAGAGAGAGAGAGAGAGAGAGAGAGGGACATATTAAATCAGATAAACTCTACACTTATTAAAGATTAAACAGATTAATTAAAGAATCAAAGACAAGCACTCACAAATAGAGAATAAGGATCTCGAAGGGAAAGTCCACCGATTTAAAAATTCTGCATGATCCTCTTACCCGTTGAAGGCGATGATGTAGCGCTGGAGCAGACGTCTCTGATTCTCTGGAAACTTCCCATACAGATAAAACCGCTTCCCTGTCAGGAAGTCTGAGAGACAAGATGGACTCAGTCAGTAGAAAGCAGTTTTAAACTTAAGCACTCAAAAATATAACGGCAGTGCTAAAATGTTTCCTGCTGCTCTGTGTTCAGGAAATTAATGTATTCTTTTACATTAAAAATGTTTAAGCATTTATAAACTGATTTTGCTCCATATGAACTCAATTTGGACTCACTCAGGAGCGCCCTCTGGTGTTTGAGAAACCCAGAAGACATTACAGAGCGGTGATTCTCCTCTCTGAAGAAGCTAACCCTTAACCCCCAACCTCCCACCTCCAACCCTAACCTTGTTATTATAAGGAGCAGTTTAGATCCCCCAAGCAGGAGCTGCTTCTGCTCAGAAACCCTGAAAGTTCCTGCTTTTTCCAACCGATCGTCCTCCTCCTCCCCTCTGGGATTTTGTGACACCCTACCAGCTGTCCGAATAGCGGCGCAGTCGAGACACTTAACACTTCCAGCGGGAGGACACGAGTGTACACTACCCAGGAGCTTTTAGAGTGACATCACTGCGGACACGCCCAGAGAGGACGGACAAACACGGAGCGACCCAGATACACTTTAGATTCTGCGTTTGGTTGGTTTATATAATTATATATTCTTTTTTTTTGTACTTGGTGTAAAATAAAATACACAAACTACTAAACTGCCCAAAATATGAATCTATTAGGAATAAATATTTTAATCAATTTGAAAAACAGATAAATAACTTCAGGACGTTGGGAGATAAAGATAAATTAGTGCTTATATTAGGAGAGGGTCCATCAGCGTCCACTGCAGCCAGATAAGTGTATGTGTATCATCCACTCCGGGACAGTGAGTGACCACCACACCACAGCCTTTTCTTTTACTCACTGTTATATATGTACATCTGTAATATAGATGTTTTTTCCTTTTCTATTTTTCTCCTTGTTAATTACATAAATATATTTGATTATTAACTTTTTTGTTATATACTACATATACATATCAAATAGATTTTAATACTGTATATACTTTTATATTATTGACTGATATCTAACATTTCCTCTTCTTAATTATCGTATTGTTACATATTAACCTCTGTTTTGTTTTTTTTTATTAACTTTTAACATATAGACAGTTGTTGCAGTGCTTTGACTATGCAAACGTAAATCTGTCATGTTAATAAAGCAAACCTGAACTAAACCAAACTAAACATGGAGGAGAAAACCACACGAACGTGAACAGGCGGCTCTGTGTAGCAGCTTTCAAGCGGATCAAGAGGATCTAGGATTTCTGGATCATCCTCATCCCTGTGGCGCTGCTGGAGTGAGTGAGATGTTGAGGGAGATGTTTCTGAGTGCAGAGGAGGAGCTGATGGACAGACCTGGCAGTTCTGGGATGGGTTTATCCTCCTCCTCCTCGGCGTCCGTGTTCTCGTCTGTAGATCCTCCGTACAGGTCGTCCTCCTTCTCTCCTGACCCCTTGGTCTGCCTTTCCTCCGCTCCTCCTCCTCCGCTCCGTCTCACTCCTGCGTCCTCTCCTCTTTTCTTCTTCTGCATCTCCACCCTGAGAAGAACCCAACACCTCAATCTCAAACAGCCGCTAACAGGAAAACTCAACGAGACAAACAAAAACATACTGCTTTAATAATAATAACAACAACAACAACAACAACAACAATAATAATAATAATGATAATAATTGATTATATAGTGCATTTGCCAAGAACTTAAAGCACTTTTGAGCTTTCAGACTTGAGCCCAACTGAGACAGGATACGTTTAGCCTGGAGAGGATGGGCTAATGTATTCATCGTTAACGTTTCAGGCAGCTTTTTCAGGTTGTTGTTAAACGACTGTAGCAGAAACTCAGTTTATAGTTTATATTAATTCTGCGCTATAAATGAACCGCAGAAATGACCCCAGGTAAAAATAATCCTATGAAAATTGGTTTGTTGTTTTTCTAAAGAACAGAGGCTCGGTGAAGGGTTCAGATGAGCTCATGTGGCCCAAACCAATCCGCTTAAAACACTAAATGAGTTTTATGATTTTATGCGGCGATATTTACTGCTGAATGTAAAACGCTAACGCGTATGCTAAACTGCATTAGGTGAAAACATTACTGCACCTCCTCACAGAAACTAACCCAGGTAATGTTTTAGGAAATTAAATCGCTACTATCAAAATTTGAGAGAGAGAGAGACAAAGAAAACGATAAAGAGAAAAGACAGAGAGAAAGAAAGAGAGAGAAAGAGAAGAAAAAAGTGAGAAGGGAAAGAGCAAGAAAGAAAGAGAAAATGAGAGAGGGGCAGTGACAAAGACAGAGAGAGAGAGAGACAGAGAGAGACAAAGAGAGAGAGCGAGAGCGAGAGAGAGAGAGAGGGGAGAGAGAGAGGGAGAGAGAGAGAGAGAGAGAGAGAGAGAGAGAGAGAGAGAGAGAGAGGGGAGAGAGAGAGGGGAGAGAGAGGGGAGAGAGAGGGGAGAGAGAGAGAGAGAGGGGAGAGAGAAAGAGAGAGAAGGGGGGAGAGAGAAAGAGAGAGAAGGGGGAGAGAGAGAGAAGGGGAGAGAGAGAGTGAGAGAGAGACTGAAGAAGGGTCTCGGTGTGAGAACTCCTATCCCACTGAACTCCTCCAGAGCTCAGACTCTGTAAACTCTAAGCGCCGTCTGGACAGAGAAACACTAACGTTACTGTCAGTCGACACTGAGAAACAGTCTAAAATGACGGCAGAGACGCTCACAGTGGAGGCAGAGCCCAGCGGGAGACGTGGATCTGTCCAGAGTGTTTTGGAGAGCGCAGCTTTGGAATCAATCAATTAAACACAGCTCACAGTTCCAGCTGTGATCAATAAGAGCCCTAATTAATCAGAGCTGATCAGTTTCAGTTAAGATCAACAGCCCAGCTGCTCGGGGACCTCAACGCTATCTGATCAGAAACATCAAAGCACATACATTAGATCGACATCAGAGCATAATCCACTTGCAGATGCACAGACTTTCAGAGTTTAACTAAATTAAAGATGTAAACAGAGCCGTTCAGAGTGGTTTGGTGTGAAACGCTCTGCTCTTTCTCCCTCACAGAAGGTTACTACATTTATAAGAGTTTAGAGAACTTAAACTCCATTCATGGTGGAGGGATACATGCAGGGTGCTGTGAGGCAAAATAGTCCCCAAAGAAAACTGATTATTTCAGATTTTCCACTATTTTCCATCATCAACATTCCATATAAACCCAGAAGACTCGTGTAGGTTCACTGGTGGTTCTGATAGTAAATAAAATGTCTATATTTGTGTTGTAGTCATGGCGACCCCTGGTTCCTATCACCACCACTGTAAAGACATCTGAGCCCTTGTTCAGTCGGTCAGCCCAAATCCGATTTTTGTCGTATCCAGATTGATTTTTGATAGTTTGGACAGCAACAAACACATTAAATATGATTTTTGCAAATCAGATCCAAACTGAATTTGGAGGTGGTCTGAAATGCGACTCCCATTGGATTTTTACAGACGTGTACTAGGATATCAGCACATACTGAGACACATTTACAGCCAATACAATGGACATAAAATGTGGCTCCCAAAGTGGTTTGATTTTTGTCGAAGCGGGACAAAAGTGCTCTTCTTAACGTTTGCGTTGCGACTCCTGGAGGAGTCCAAAAAAAGGACATTATTTTGGTTGAAATGTCACAGATGTTCAGTCATCTCACATGACTGATTCACCAGTGTGTTTATGATGCACTGCAGAGATATTACAACTGCAATATGCAGAAATATAACCACAGTCCTGATACTGTGTTCCTATCATGCAGCCTCTTTACCTCCTGAGCTCATCCTCAGTGTCCATGCCTGACTCATCTTCATCTTCATTATCTGTGGGGAGAAAACAACACGAGTGAGTAGATTACAGCAGTAGGGCCGTTTTACATACACAACAAAGGTCAGCGCTATTTTATGATTCATACTGCCTTTTTTCAAGAAATAAAACAATTCAGCAGCTGTTATTCTTTACATTAACTTCAAATGTAAAGAGATCTCAAAACAGCCCGTCTTTGTAGGTTAGTTTCCAAGCATGGTCTGGAGGGTAAGTGATGTTTTTTATTTCAAAAAGGTGAGGAAATTTTGGTTTCCTACAACATTGGCCCTTTAAACGAAACCTGCTTCGGGCTGGGGGGATTTTGGCTTAGTTTACCTGGCAACCCTGTGTGCGTGTTGCCTTTCAGACGGTTTGTTTGGCTGAATAAAGATCAGCCGGGAGCGTCCGGCTCCACATTAACATAGAAATGAGGAACATGACCGAGTGTGTTCAGCGTCGACTGCGGGACCACACACACACACACACACACACACACACACACACACACACAGCGTTATCAGCCCTGACCTGAAACACACTCCTCTCACACTCTTCATTAAAACGCACCCCCCCAGCTGGAGTAAACACACTCAATATTAAACGCAACAGCGACATTTCAAGAGAAAAATGAGGGAAAAATCGTCCTCAGCGGCCACCGCGGCCACCGCGGCCACCGCGGCCACCGCGGCCAAGATGAGGGATGGAAAGTGCTAAATAAGTGCTTGTTAAATTTAAAGGGGCCAAATCATGCAAAATTAAACTAGTCTCGTTTTCACACTACAGCTTATTTCCGGACCCAGGTCCACCTGCTCTGTGAGTTCGGTACGTTTGGTCGAGTGGGAACGCGGTTCTGGAGCCCAGAGGTGGAACAGAGAACCGATCTCTGGTCCTCCTGAAGTCAGTGGTCCGGGGGAACTCTGGTGGGTCCACTGCATGTGCAGAAGCTCTCCGCTCCCATGTGGGGCTGCGTGATTGGCTCATTTTGTAACGTGACTGCTTTGACTTACTTCTAAAAGACCTACGAAAATAATAAACAGCAGTAAACGGATGAAGCTGCGCCGCCCATTCCGCACACCTGTGTGCAGAAAAGTGACGCACGGAATTGCGCAGTTCGGAGGGAATTCTTGTGTGTGAAAGGAATCCAGCACTAATGAGCTCCTCCCCCAAACGAGCACAGAATGGGTCCTGGGTGCGGACTCAGCTATTCAGGAGAAGTGTGAAAATGTCCTAAAGCCTCGTTTAGATGAGGTTAGTTTTACATAAGGAGGGGGTAATGTAAGTGTTACCAGCGCTACTCAGAGACTTCAGTCCCGCCCGAATGTGCCGTGTTACCCACAGTGTGCTCCTGCGCCAGTAAGGCTTCCAGCGCCTTTTACCGTCTATAAAAATTCCCAGGTAATGTTGATGATAAAGTTGATGCTAATGACACACTGCATTCACTTAAGAGAGACAGGTAGGCTAAATGTTTAGGGTAAAGGAAGTAACAGCTAAATTAAACGTTTTAACATCTTTTCTACTCGTTTCTGGAGTGAAGGCGGTGCGTAAATCGAGCAGCCGCTCCATCTCTGTCATTTATACTGAAATTTGTCCTAAACATTACAGACGTCCTGAGGTGAATCAGCATCACCCACCTCCTGTATGGAGAACTAGTCCTGTACCAACAGGACTTAAGCTGCACAAACAGCCTGCTTTGAATTCACCGCTTTGGTGATGTCACTAAAATGACCCCTTACATACATCCAACTATTCAGTCTACAGCAGTTTGGCCCCGCCCACTCGCACTGAAGTTAGAAGGAGTGTTTCAGCCTGGACTGCTTTTTGAACGAGGCACAATACAGGGCAGAGCTCATTTACATATATTAGTCTTAAAGGCACAGTAACAAAAACAGCCTGCTTAATTCTACAGGATGAGGAGAGGTGGGAAAATGGTCTATAAGAATCGATTAAGACAAGAAAAATGTAGGATATGGGCCCTTTAATTGACTACACACCTCCCCTAAATGCTGAATGTCCAATCATAGGTTATTAAATCTGTAATACAATCACAATTAAAAGCGAAAGCCGCTGGTTTTCTACTCAAACGGTGAAATTTGCGTCCTTAAAACTGCAGAGGAAACTTTTGTGATGCGTCTAAATTTAATCGCTCTGTCGTCATGAGTGAATCAGGACACCACTAGAACATCGAACAGCACTTCATCCGTTCCTCCCTCCTCCGCTCATCCCTCCTTTTGTCCATCTCTCATCCCATTACGTCACACGAGTGCTGAACAGGTGGACGAGGGAACGGGCAGCCGTGGAACTCTCCCTCGGCGAGGCTAATCCCAGCGAGCTAATGAACTGCATAAGCAAACTCTGACATGCAAATCTGTTTTCGGTGCGTTTGAGCACAATGGAGCGCTAGTGAATCATTTTCTGTGTCTTCAGGTTTAGAATGAGAGCTGAAGCACCTCCGTCTAGCACCTAGAGTAGGGTACAGCACGCTCACTAGCAGCCTATCACAGTGAAACGCATCATGAATATCAGATGGAGTTCACCGCATACGGCCCTGTTTCAATGTGTCAAAGTGGCCCTAAATTCAAAAACTATTCAGTGAGCATTCATAGAGATTAATGAATATGCATAATTATGCAAATTGAACCATTCTGCCATTCAAACCTTGCCGCTTTGCGCTACGATCTTACCTTCAGCAAACGCAGAAGCAATTTTAAATACAGTAACAATTCTTACAAATGAGCGAAGCCACTTAGAGGTGCACCGATACCACTTTTATTGATACCTGATCCTTAAGTATCGATACTAGTGATGTACCGATACTGTATCAGCACCAGCGCCGATACTGGCTCTTAAACACGTACCGATACCTACACCTACCCCACGAAGCAATTTCTGGCAAACCAAAACTTTATGAAAGTCAGCGATGTTGGATAACAAGCAGCAGTAAAAAGGCTAATGTCAGAATTTCATGGGAAAAACACGCTAAAGGAACCGCTTCTTTCCGTAATCACCCGCTGTGTGCTCCCGCCAGCCACGTGCCTCCATCAATCAGCTGCGGGATCTCGTAACCGTCACTTCAACCAAATCAGAAAAAACACAGATAGTCGCTGATACTAACAGCGTGAATGTGGCACGCGCCCGCCCCCCGGGCCCCGTCGACGGCCGCAAGAACACCCGAACACCGAGCGGTGACGAACCCCGGCGAGGACAGCAGGGACAGCGCCGAGAGTAGGTGGGTGGGAGCGCAGAGCCCGAGCTCCGCCAAGGGACGCGAGTGACGGCGGGAGGAGGAAGACAATGGTGCCGGTCACGAGAGGCACAAAGGCACGGAGTGAATCCCGAGCGGCTGAGCTGCGGCGCGGGGGCGGTCACAGGGAGGCGGAGCAACGAGCTCTCGTTCCCTCTCGGCTCGGGTGCTCACGCTGCCCTAACTGAGAGTCAGCACCTTTTAAAAAGAGCTAAGGGGGAACAGAGCGAGAGACAGGGACAAGCAGCAGCAACAAGAGACTGAGTGAAGAGCTGAAAAGCTCCAGTAAAGAAAAGGACCGAAAAGTCTAGGTAGAAGCCACTGAAAAGGTTTTGTTTGGTTTTGTTTTAGTTTATTTGGGGTGTGAATAAAAGTGAAGTGGCTGCTGCGACCCTGAATCCTGCCTCCAGTGTCCTCCTTGTGCCCGGGGTAGCACATGACATGCTACAGTGAACAACGGTTATATTTACTGAACTGACGCTCAGAGACGCAGTACGGGTTAATTAGACGCATGTATGAGACAAACGACTCGAGAAATCTGGACGTGAAACAACATTCAGCTCCGTTTCTGAGCAGAGGAGCTGCTGTGTGCTGATATGTAAACACCACAGGTTTATCTGTTTACTGATCGGCTCTGGTTTTAGCTTTTTTACACAATAAAGATATTTTACACTTACTTACGTTGTTAAACATGGGTCTTATTACTGATTATATAACAGTAAAAACTACATATATATTTCTTGATTTACTGTATAAGTTTTATGCAGATTTTACCAAAATAAAACATTTAAAAAATGTATTTGTATAAATATCAGGACTCAGAGGTTAGTTAGGTTAGACAGAGTTAGTATTGGCATTGGTACCTGGTAGCTAACTACAGCTAACTGCATTTTTAGCTATAAGTGGTATAAACAGTGGCTTATCAGGTTATTAAGCCTTTGTTCTCTGTTCCAAAGCTCAGCTACACTGACGAGGGTCACCCTCAGTGTACTCAGAGTTTAAATACAGGCTGACTGACTGATTGATTGATTGATTGATTTATGCTGACTCGATGCTTCGACTCGAGGCGGGGCAGACAGTGAGGGAGGAGCAGACGGTTAGGGAGGGGCAGGTCAGCCACAGCAGGTCAGAAACAGCAGCGTCAGATCAGAACCTCGATCATCCGTCGATCCTCCGTGTTCATCCTCCACACTCGCTGCCTTCTTCTCTGGAGTCTTCTTTGGGGTGATCTGCCTCTTCTCTGGAGTCTTTGGAGAGAGAGAGAGAGAGAGAGAGAGAGAGAGAGAGAAAGATAGAGAGAGAGGGAGAGATAGAGAGAGAGAGGAGAGAGAGACAGAGAGAGAGACAGAGAGAGGGGAGAGAGAGACAGACAGAGAGAGACAGACAGAGAGAGACAGAGAGAGAGAGACAGACAGAGAGAGAGACATCAGAGAGAAATAAGGATATGAGACCTTTTAAACACACACACAGACTGTGTGGCAGGAAGTCAACAACCATACATGAGACGTTTCTATGGTAACGTTGTGAGTCCAAGGCTGGGTCTGTGGTTTCATTCAGAGCTAAAGATGCTGAGAAATTATTCAGCATCTATTACAAACTATTTAGTACCCACTACGAATTATTCAGCATCTACTATGAATTATTCAGCATCTACTATGAATTATTCAGTTACTATAACTTTATTCAGTATGTTCTATGAAACTAGCGTGCACTGCTTCACTTAACCTTTACAGTACTGCACATAATATTTGTGTGTGTTTTATGTGTGTTTATTATCTTAGTGTGTTTATTATTTTTGTGTGTTTATTATTTTTGTGATCTCCTGCCAGACCAAACAGAAGTAATCAGTCCAGTGAATAAGTTCTGATTCTGGTGTTCTGAATGAGAAAGACATAAAGAAATAAAAGAATCACTTTTTTCTTCTCCTCATCGCTTCTGTCGTCGTCCTCCGGGGACGCTCTCCTCCGAGCTGGACTCGGCTCCGTCCATCAGATATCTGCACAACAAAACATGACATATAAAAAAACGCACACACACACAAACAAACACACACACAGATCTGAGTTTACTACAGTGCGCGTGTGTGTGTGTGTATGTGTGAGTGTGTGTGTAGAAAAGAGCGAATGGAGGGAGAAAACCCAGAGAGCCCCTCGTTATTGTGCGAGAGAGTGAGTGAGCGATTCATTCTCCACTTCAAAGCAAGTGTCTGCTTTAATTACTGATTACAGATACAGCCATTAAATACAGAATACATCACCATCACAATCACAGAGGGGGGGGCAGAGAGAGAGAGAGAGAGAGAGAGAGAGAGAGAGAGAGAGAGAGAGAGAGAGAGGGGGAGAGGGAGAGGGAGAGGGAGAGAGAGAGAGAGGGAGAGAGAGAGAGGGAGAGAGAGAGAGAGGGAGAGAGAGAGAGGAGAGAGAGGAGAGAGAGAGAGAGAGGAGAGAGAGGGAGAGAGAGAGAGAGAGAGAGAGAGAGAGAGAGAGAGAGAGAGAGAGAGAGGAGAGGGAGAGGGAGAGAGAGAGAGAGAGGGGGGGACAGAGAGAGAGAGAGAGAGAGAGAGAGAGGGAGAGGGAGGGGAGAGAGGGGGGGGGCAGAGAGAGAGAGAGAGAGAGAGAGAGAGAGAGAGAGAGAGGGGAGAGAGAGAGAGAGAGAGAGAGAGACAGAGAGAGAGAGAGAGAGAGAGAGACAGAGAGAGAGAGAGAGAGAGAGAGAGAGACAGAGAGGGAGAAAGGGGAGAGAGAGAGAGAGAGTGACAGACAGAAAAAGAGAGTCATATATAGACAGAGACTGTGTGGCGGACTCACACCTCAGACACCTGAGACTCGAGGCTCGGACTCGCACCTCAGAGACTTAAGGCTCGACTCGGACTCGCATCTCAGAGACCTTAGAAACGACTCAGACTGGCATCTCAGAGACCTGAGACTCGAGGCTCGGACTCGCACCTCAGAGACTTGAGGCTCGACTCAGACTCGCATCTCAGAGACCTGAGACTTGAGGCTCAGACTCGCACCTCAGAGACTCGAGGCTCGACTTGGACTTGCACCTCAGAGACCTCAGAAACGACTCAGACTGGCACCTCAGAGACCTGAGACTCGACTCGGACTCGCACCTCAGAGACTCAAGATTTGAACCGTGCCTCGGCCCCGACTGTGAGGAAATTGAATAATTCACAGAATGCGTTTGTGACTCTGAGGCTCAGAGCTGCAGACAGAACAGCCACGTCAGACAGAAGCCTCGACACGTCTGCATTCAGAATCAGACCAAACGCTCTCAGCCTGTGACCGACTCAGTCTGACACACAGTAACTCAGAACTGGGCTCTGGGGAAACGGCGCTGATCGGGGAACAATCAATGACTTTCAGCACAGCTATCTACAAATAATCAATACAAACACGATCAGAAAGACAGAGCTGGAACGGGATATGGGAGAGAGGCCCCCCTCCTACTCCACCCCCTTCACCTCCTCCTCCTCACCCCCCCTCCTACTCCACCCCCTCACCCCCTCACCCCGCTCTCCTTCAGCTCAGTCCTTCATTACTCTGCATTTATTTTTCCTTCTGGTCTCAGATGCGTCTGAAAAGACGCCACAATCAGGAGCCATTAGTAAAACATCAAACACCGTCACCTCCTCCCTGCTCTCGGTTAATTATAAACCTCCCTGACTCTTCCTTCATTAAAGTGTGGAATTTCTGACACTGCGGCTTTTGACTTACATTTCTCATTTAAGTCCTCTAATTAAATGTTTTACTGCGTATTTCATTTTTAAAAATAATGTTTAACTAAAGTTCTTATTTCATTTATGATGATCAGAATTACAGCAGAACAGCTACATGACTGAAGTATTTCATTTTTTGACTGAGTTCTACATTGATTTTTCAATCAGTTTTACTGTTTTGTTGATTATATTTTTTGTATTTATTTATTTATTTATTTAATTTGTGGAGAGGAACGCTGCACATATTTGCTAAAATGCGCACGATTCCTTTAAGTGTTTAAAAATTCCCTTCCAAAATTTAAACTTCCTGACATTCATTAATCTAATAACCTAATGAAGCAGCTATGTCGGGGTCAGGGGTCGTAACCCAAACCTTAAGAAGAGCCATTTTGTTCTTTGAGCAAAATCAAACCACTTTGATTTTTCTTGTCCATTTTACCATCTTGGCTGTAAATATGTCTCAGGGTGTGTTGATGTTCTAATATAGACTAAAAATATAATATAAATCAATCTTCAGCTCAGCTACAGCTGCTTTTCTCGCATCTCCAGCAGGAAACTTTTCCTCAAAAGTAGAACAGTTTCTTGTAAAATGTCTCAACATTCGATATTTTACGAGGCTGAAGTCGCTTCTCATTCAGCAGCTTCTTGTTCACGACTTTTTAGTGTTTGAGTTTCTCGCTGCAGATTAAACGTATCAGGAAACCAGCTGGAGTGATTATAAACACTAATGAGTCCATTCGTCTCTAAATTATCGATGTCCATCTTAAATCTCTCTCTTTGCCGTTTCGTTAGCTACTAGCTAGGCGAGACTGTTGTCTGTGTTGCTATGGTGACCAGCAGTCTGCGCTGATCTTCAGGGTTAAAGGGTGAATTAGCAGTTCTACATTAACTCCAGAGTTTAAGACCATTTATTGTTAAACTGTGTTGAACGATCAGCAGAGCTTTATTTTACTGTAAAGGAGGATTATTTTATTATTACCTACTAATCTGATTCTGCTGTGGAGCCACAACAGGGCAGTAAAGGAGCCGCATAATGTCTGCGCGTTTGGGCTGATCAGTCAGTATCAGTAACAAAAGGACAGTGGCTGTGTTGTTTTAGGGGTTAATGCAGTCGTGTTCGTCCGCTGAAATGGGGAGTTCACTCACCTCTTGTAGGAGATTTTCTGTTTCCTCTTGTGACAGTCCAGCACCCACTCCTTCCGCACGATCAGCCCCCCCGCCGCCTTCACCTGCCCGTATTTAGGGGTGTTAGCAAACGCACAGCTGCAGAAAAGAGGAGAGATTCAAAAATGTTTATTAAACATTTCAAGAGTTTTGTATCGATAAAACAAACCGAATCACAAACGAGACGTGTTAAGCTGTGAAAGACTTTGGGCTGAATGATTTTGTGTGAAATATCTAACTGCAAATTTTCTTACCGAGTCAGAACTGTTCACAGTGGTGGTGATAGGAACCAGACGTCCACCTCTAAAAGCTCCCTCACAGAAAGTTCCTACAGTAAATGGTTATGAATTCACTGCCTGATGACTGAGACACTGTTTTATGATAGTTTAGAGAACTTAAACTCCATTCATGGTGGAGGGATACATGCAGGGCGCTGTGAGGCAAAATAGTCCCCAAAGAAAACTTATTATTTCAGATTTTCCACTATTTTCCATCATCAACATTCCATATAAACTCAGAAGACTCGTGTAGGTTCACTGGTGGTTCTGGATAGTAAATAAAATGTCTATATCTGTGTTGTAGTCATGGCGACCCCTGGTTCCTATCACCACCACTGTAAAGACATCTGAGTCTGTAATTTTCTCTACAACAGACCATTTAATATGAAACCACTCTGAATGACTTGACTAACACTGCAACGACAGAACTGTATAAAAAGTGAGAAACACTGGTGGAATTCCTCTTGAAGTACAGTTAAAATCAGGTACTGAAGTTCGTGAATTCAGTATGTACAGCTCGATTTAAGTCTTTCTGTCTCATGGCGGTGGATCAGATTTTACTGGGATGTATCACTACAGCAACTTATGCTCAAGTGTCCTACATGAGGTGTGTGGAGTCGGGGGTCCAGTCGGGCCGGTATTTCGCCCCCATGGCCAGCGCCTTCTCCCTCAGCTCCCCACGGAACGGGTTCTGGAACCCACTCAGCACGAACACCACCCCCTCCAAGATCTTGTTAAATGGAACCGTCTCTGCAGGTTTTGGCCGGGCTTTGGGTTTGGGTTTACTCTCCGGCTTCTTCTCTGGAGTCTTCTGGTCAGAAGAGGCTGAAAAGGGGAGAAATAACACGGATTAAACATGAGAACAGAATCAGTGCTGAATTAGAATGAAGGAGGTACACAAGCACACGGATCAGAAAAAGACAGACTGAGACCGTTTAGAGAGCCTGTAAATCACAACAATAACCAGTCTATAAAAACTGCATAATAGATAGGAGAAATGGAGAGCATGTTCTTTAGTGTTCTTCTCTTTAATGGACCAAACTGTTTTAATAAAACCCCGAAATGTTTTTCCCCCATTGTTCTTATTCACCCCCCAACCCTTGGCCAAAAAAAAGAAATCTGAACCGAACCGTGGTTTTGGAGAATCGTTACACCTCTACTTCATACTGAATGTATTTAAACCCAATGCATTAACAGAAACAGTAATAAGCTACTTATTACACAAAATCATCATTTATAGGGTACTTTCAATCAGGAGGTGTCCGTCCCAAACCCTAACCCCTAAATTTACACTTCTGAAAATAATACTTTCTTTTTTTGCATTTTGTTGTTTTAAAAGATCTTTTTGATTTATTTTAAAGTGAAGTTAAAAGATTTAGATTTATCATGACTTTAATTTGTAAATTAAAAAATGCTGTCCCATATTTTTATGTCACTACCAAAACAAAGAGTTTCGGTCTGTGGGCGGGGCCTTTTTAGCCACGCCCCTGCATTTCAGAGCAGGAAGTGAGGCTGCATCCCTGTCCCTCATGGCCACATGGTGAGCAGTTAGATCCCATTGTTTTGAAGTAAATGAGTCCCAAAGTCTGAAAATCAGTGTGGAACATTAAGAATCGCCATATTTTCTGCAGTTCAGCACTTTTTAGTGTTTTAATGTAAAATATGATGATTTTCTGTGTGAACAGCTGTTCAGAGCTGTGTTTGCTGGTCTGTACTGCTGAGTTTCTGAGCTCAAAATGAGCTAAAACTGTCACTGAAACAGTCACTACTGAAACAGACACTGCTGAAACAGTCACTGCTGAAACAGTCACTGCTGAAACAGTCACTGCTGAAACAGACACTGCTGAAACAGACACTGCTGAAACAGACACTGCTGAGACAGACACTGCTGAGACAGACACTGCTGAGACAGACACTACTGAGACAGTCAGTACCGAAACAGTCACTACTGAGACAGACACTACTGAGACAGACACTACTGAAACAGTCACTACTGAGACAGTCACTACTGAAACAGTCACTACTGAGACAGTCACTACTGAGACAGACACTACTGAGACAGACACTACTGAAACAGTCACTACTGAGACAGACACTACTGAAACAGTCACTACTGAGACAGTCAGTACCGAAACAGTCACTACTGAGACAGTCACTACTGAGACAGACACTACTGAGACAGACACTACTGAGACAGACACTACTGAAACAGTCACTACTGAGACAGACACTACTGAAACAGACACTACTGAGACAGACACTACTGAGACAGACAGTACCGAAACAGTCACTACTGAGACAGTCACTACTGAGACAGACACTACTGAAACAGTCACTACTGAGACAGACACTACTGAGACAGACACTACTGAGACAGACTACTGAAACAGACACTACTGAGACAGACACTACTGAGACAGACACTACTGAAACAGTCACTACTGAGACAGACACTACTGAAACAGACACTACACTACTGAGACAGTCACTACTGAAACAGTCACTACTGAGACAGACACTACTGAGACAGACACTACTGAAACAGTCACTACTGAAACAGTCACTACTGAGACAGTCAGTACCGAAACAGTCACTACTGAGACAGACACTACTGAAACAGACTAGTGAAACAGACACTACTGAGACAGACACTACTGAGACAGACACTACACTACTGAGACAGACACTACTGAGACAGACACTACTGAGACAGACACTACTGAGACAGACACTACTGAAACAGACACTACACTACTGAGACAGTCACTACTGAGACAGACACTACTGAGACAGTCACTACTGAAACAGTCACTACTGAAACAGTCACTACTGAAACAGTCACTACTGAGACAGTCAGTACCGAAACAGTCACTACCGAAACAGTCACTACTGAGACAGACACTACCGAAACAGACACTACTGAAACAGTCACTACTGAGACAGTCACTACTGAGACAGACACTACCGAGACAGTCACTACTGAGACAGACACTACTGAGACAGACACTACACTACTGAGACAGACACTACTGAGACAGACACTACGAGACAGTCACTACTGAGACAGTCACTACTGAGACAGACACTACACTACTGAGACAGACACTACTGAGACAGACACTACCGAGACAGTCACTACTGAGACAGTCACTACTGAGACAGACACTACACTACTGAGACAGACACTACTGAGACAGACACTACCGAGACAGTCACTACTGAGACAGTCACTACTGAGACAGACACTACCGAAACAGACACTACCGAAAGTCACTACTGAGACAGTCACTACTGAAACAGTCAGTACCGAAAGTCACTAATGAAACAGACACTACTGAAACAGTCACTACTGAAACAGTCACTAATGAAACAGACACTACTGAAACAGTCACTACTGAAACAGTCAGTACCGAAACAGTCACTACTGAAACAGTCAGTACCGAAACAGTCACTAATGAAACAGACACTACTGAAACAGTCAGTACCGAAACAGTCACTACTGACACATTTGGTAAAGTTTCAGTGGAGTTATGATTGTTTCGGTAGAGACAAAATGGAATGTTTAATCATTAGTTTTACTAAAATACACATAATTAATGTTTAAAGTCACTCAAAGCAAGAGGATTTTAGTCTAGTCCAAGATCAGTTAAAAGCAAAGTCAGTTTATTTAACTTTTTTTTTTACTTTGACTTTGAACCAACCAGTAAAATCTATCAATAAATGATTTTATATTATTTTATTTTGTATTTTATTTTTATATTCTTTTATTTGACATCTTAATTTTCTTAGATGATCTTACTGTTTTAATTGTGTTACTTTTACAGTCATTTTACTTGATTGCTTTAAATTTTAGGTCGCCTTATTTATTCTTTTGTGTTTAAATGTATTTATTCCTTTTAACTATTATATCTCAGTTTTATTTATTCTGCTGCTCCTCTTCCTAATTAAACCCGAACTGTTCTCTTATTTTTTCCCTTCCATTTCTCATTTGATTTCGTTTGGTTTTACTGTTAAGTTCTGTTCATTTTAGTTAGTTTAAACTGACTCAATTCCATTTTAATTTCTTTTCATTCTCTTGTCCTCTAAATGCTCAGCTGCACTGAAAATGAGAGTCACCCTCAAAAATGAAAATAAAGATTGATTGAAAATAATCCACACACACACACACACACACACACACACACACACACATACACATACACATACACACACACACACACACATACACACACACACACACATACACACACATACACACACACACACACACATATATATACTCACAGCCTGGGGAGAGGAGGGTGACTAATGTAGGAAACATACTATATAAATATGTTATTTTATGTTAATGCATATATAATATATATTTAATAACATAAAATTAACATATTAATATAGTATGTTTCCTACATTAGTCACCCTCCTCTCCCCAGGCTGTCAGTTAGAGACTGACCTGTTTTCCCCCTGGCCGTACTGGGGCTGGGCGTGTGTGCGGTGCTGGGTTTGGTTCTGGGTGTTCCTGAGCCGGCCTGTGGAGAACCCGCTGGGCTCGGCTTCTTGGCTGGAGGAGCCGGAGCGTCTTGTCGTTCTTTACTGAACTCAAACTTCCTCTTAACGGGAGCCTGTCGGGAGGGAACACAGGACAGCGGCTCTGCTCAGCTCCTGCTTCTAAACCTACTTTCAGCTCAACACCAGCAGGACAGAACTCACAAATAACAAAGGAAACTATGTGCATTTAAAATTAAACCGTAATCATTTATATGTGACAAGTTATTGCAGCATCAGCACAAAACCATCTTCCTTTACTTTACATAAAAAGGAAGACTGAGCTCAGCACTCCACACTCCTGCTCTCATTAGCCAGATGAGTTATGAAGGAGTGAACATGGAAAACAGAGAAACAGAGCCCCCTACAGGACAGAAATCACACTGCGGCTCATCCTCCCACTGCTAGGTGTGTACCTGTGGTGAGCTGGTGGTTGGCGGGGTCGGGGTGGAGGACTCTGACTGGAGCGCAGCTGCTGCGTAGCTCAGTTTGGCATTCTGAGGAGAAACTGAGGAGAAAGGAGAATCAGACACCACATTACGGCTACAGACACATCAGCATGATACAGTCACAACTCATTAAACACTTGGGCCCCCTCCCATTTCACCCCTCACCCCTACCACTCAGTCCTACCCCTCTGTTTTGCGTGTTCTCGTCTAGGGGTAGGGTGTCCCGATTCTTGTTGAGATAGAGGGGGAGGGTGAAGTGTTGGGGCTACATGACCCTCCAAACTCAGGTTTTTCAGAGACTCCAAACAGAGAGTTATGAGAAAAAAGAAAAACCAGCAAAATGGAGAACAAAAGACCAAAGAAACCCACAGATGTGAGAATTTTCGACATTAAACTACGATAACCACTGTTTTATCTTAGTTTAATGTCGTTTCAGTGTATTTTGGTCGTTTTCTTCATAACAAGCATAAAAATCACTAATAGTATGCTAATGTCTCGGTAGCTACCAGCTAATTTTCCATTCCACCTTAAATAGTTCAGCAGTTCTGACACGTGAAGCCCCAGAATGTAACTGCTGCTCCATTTAAGGTGGAACGTGAAAATTTGAATAAGAATCTGGAGAATATCCGACTTCAGCTTCATATCACTGAAGAATTAGGGGTGGTGATAATAAATAATTGCCCCCCTCTTTGAAGTCATATGATGTCCTAAATGTAACTAAAGCCCAGCAGTGAGGAGCTGAACTTTACCCTCCTCTGCTGTCACTGCAGACTGGCAGGGTCGCCTACAGAGCAGCGCTGGTAGCTGTTAATGAAGTGATGCTCTTTTTATTTGAGGGTCCCATTTCAGAGGGAAGATCTCAACCACTACCCTGTAACTCAGTAACAAGGGGCAACACTCGAAAACAAGGGGTAGGGGTGAAGATAAGAAATGGAACTGGACTTACATGACTGTTAGGATAATACACAATACACATTTCTGATATTAAAACATGCATTAAACATGTTTTACTGTTAATTACATCATTAAACTAGGGCCACAAGTAGTGCTGGCCAAACATTTTACCACAATATTTTGCTCCATAACATTCGAATGCAGGTGGTTTTACCCTTCAGCCCTGGACTGCTTTTAGTCGTGGCGTCTCTGCTGAAGAAGAGGCTGCCAGGCTGGAGGCTGGGTCCAGAGGACGGAGACTCGTCTTTTACTCGGAACTGACCCAGTTTAGTCAGTTTCTACCACAAACAGAGGGAGAGAGCGGTCAGAACTTTATCTAGAGGATGAATATATGCTCTATGCATAACAGCTGGAGATATGCTTTGTATATGATAGCTGGAGATCTTTATATTGTATTTTGTGGATGTTTGAGTGATGCTGAGATGAGCATAAATGCAGACAGAGTGACTTACAGGTGGAGTGGCAGCAGGAGCTTCGCTGTTATCTGGCGGGGAGTGGAACTTTATAAAGGCTATTCCATACGCTATGGTCTAAGATTCAGAATCAGACAAATGACAGTCACATTCGAATATTTACAGACTTAAGATCACTGAATGAAGAGAGAGAGAGAGAGAGAGAGAGACAGAGAGACAGAGACAGAGAGAGAGAGATGCCAACCTTGCTGTATGGCTGACTGCAGACAATCTTCACCCGGTCCCATTTCTCCTGAGCCGTGGCCTTCACCAGCTGCTGGGGGCCGAAAGAAGCGAACTCGGTTCATGTTGGTTCCTCCTCGACTCTCGGTGGGGGACATGAACGATGACGTCACCAACAGCACCTTCAGAGGGCGCAGACAGTGAGACCGAGAGCACAGACAAGTAATATTCCCAAATCTACAAGGCGGGAGGGCAGAGCCACACCTCAAAATCCTGGTCTTTGACGGACGTCGAGTGTCCAACCAGAACCTCGACGAAGGCAGATCCTTCATTTCCGATGTCTATACTGTGGACCTGCTCCTCTTTGTCAAACTAAAGGGATGAACACAGTCAACACGAAGGAGCACAACATCACCGTCCAAAGGACAACAAGCATCTCCAAAACAGAGACATTCTTTACTTTCATGTTAAGAGATTTTATTCCAAGAAATTCGGGAGCATTTTTACTGAACTTTGCACACAGTGTGAAGAACAGCTGCTGAGCTGAAATGATGTAGAAAAGTAAAAACAGAGACGAAACAGCACAAATTAAATTTAATCTGGGCTGTTTTGTAGCTTCGTTTCTATATATGAAGTGCACAAACGGTACATTTTAAAAGCTTCACATACTAGATTAATTTTTTCTTTTGAAAAAAACAAAGTGTGCTTTTTTTCATTCTGACGACAGCAGATATTAGAGTCAATGTTAACGTACATACTGGAGTACATCATTATATACATCATTATATATCGCTTCTCATACCATCAATGTGACATTCAACAGCTTTACCAAACATCACTTAAACCCAAACAGTGCAGCAGCAACAGAAACAGTATCTATAGAAGATAAAGCACAGATGACTTACTATTTCATACTATCATACTATTAGTTTCCCTTAATTATGACTCAGTATCTCATAATAATTACTTGTTATCTCATATTAATGAGAAAATTTATCTTAATTATGATGAAGTCTTAATTATGAGAAGGTAACTCAAAATTATGACACGCCAAGTCGTAATTATAAAGTGCTAAGTCATAATTATGGGAATGCAAGTCATAATTCTAAGGTGTTAAATCACAATTATGAAACGTTTAGTTATGTTTATAAGACGCTTAGTCATTATTATGACAATGTAAGTCATAATTATGGAAGTGTAAGTCATAATTATAAGATGCTAGGTCAAAATTATGACACACCAAGTCATAATAAGGTGCTAAGTCATAATTATGAGATGTTAAATCATGATTATAAAACACTACATCATAATTAGGAGATGTTAAGTCATCATCAAGTCATATTTAAGATAATGTAAGTCATAATTATGAGATGTTAAATCATAATTATTAGATACATCATAATTATGAGAAAACAAGTCATAATTATGAGATACTAAGTCAATTATAAGATGTTAAGTCAAAATTATGAGATGCTAGGTCTCATGATTATTATGCAATGTATCAGAATTATGACTTACAATCTCATAAAACTCACTGTCTCACAACTATGACTTAGCATATCATAATTGTGAGAGTGAGTTTTATGAGATTTTAAATCATAATTCTGATATATATCATGATAATCATGAGACACTAAATCGTAATTATGAGGCAGCAAATCGTATTTGAGACAGTATGTCATAGCTACGAGATTGTGCGTCGAAATTATGACAAAGTGATTATTATGAAACACTATGTCATAAAAGATGCTATGTGACAAGTCATAATTTTGGAAAACTCTATCATTATGACTTTCTTTTCCCAGTGGTGGAAACAGGCGAGTCTCCAAACCTGTAAAATAACTGAGGTCTGCTTCTCTCCTGGTCTCGCAGCTTTCCATTTCCTGTAGGTGTCGGAGCTCAGCAGGTTGTCCGCCTTGTGAGTCTGTGCAAAAACATCAGGGGTTCCCCCAAATAATAAACCCCGGAGAAACGTTACAGGGCAATTTTATGACTACCAACTCACCCCTTTTCTGTCCGTTTACTTACAGAATCCTCGCTGCTGCAGGACACGACGTGTTTGAGTCTAATCTCAGGCATTCTGGCTCTCAGCTGATGATGAACTCAGCAAACCTTTGACAGAAAAACAGGGCTGCATTAGTCAGGTGTGTAACCAGACAAAGCAACGGAACCTGTAAGATATGGATTTTAAATCTCTATTTAGGGAGAATTGGTCAGAATCTGCACACAAACACTGAAATTAAGATTAATTAAGGATATTAATCTAAGAGACTGGCTCTCTACACAGATAAAATACTTCTTATGAATTTATCCGTTCCACCTTAAACGGTGCAGCAGTTGCATTCTGGCGCCTCAGACATCAGAACGCAACTGCTGCACCATTTAAGGAGGACCGGATCAATTCAAATAAGCTTGGAACAGAAAGCTAACTGGGCTCGTTTACTGTAAAAGATAACACAACCCTAATAAAACAGAATGTAGTCTTTAACACAGGCGGAACACAGAAATGAGGTTAATAACTATGCAGTTAAAGTAAACAAAGCTACAGCAGCACAAACCCCATTCATTTAAGCGGCCATGCTAACACGCTAACTAGCCAACAGCAGCTAACAATAGGGAGCATCATACTAAAGGGCTTAAAGTGCAAAATCAGCGTTTAACAGCTGAAACCTCTACACGCGGAGAGCCGCTCGAGGCTCCAGATTTCACTTACAGTGCATAAAATAACGTAATAAAGCGGATTAAACGCCTTAAAGCGCCAACGGAGGGAAAATCAACACTCACAAGCCGTGGCGTCATATCCGGTTCTCCGCCGAGGTGGCGCTCCAATTCGAGCAGAATGACTAGGTAGTGCACACTAGCGGCTCAGACTTAGAGCCCAATTGGAACACAGGCGGAGATTCGTCGCCATCTAGTGGTGAGAGGCTGCAGTGCATGACAAAAACCTTTTTGAAAAGGGTTCTATAAAGCACCCAAATAAGGTGAAGATGGTTCTTCAAGGGTTCTTTAGTAAAGAAAATGGTTCTATATATTACTATGAACACTCAAAGAACTGTTTGCCACATGAAAGTGTTCTTAAGAATGCGCTGTAGATGGTCCTATATATGGAACCTTTTTAAAAAGGGTTCTAAATAGCTCCAAAAAGGGTTCTTCTATTGTTATGATGCCAAGCTTGTAACAGTAGAAGAACCCTGTTGGGTGCTATATAGAACCCTTTTCTAAAAGATTCTCCGTAGAACCATCTACAGGATACTCTCCACCAATCTGAAGAACCCTTTGATCATGCATGGTGAAACGGTTTTTCAGATTGATGGAGAATGTTTGACATCGTAAGCTTGACATCGCAACAATAGCAGAACCCTTTTGGTGCTATATAGAACCACATACCGCATCAATCTGAGGAACCCTTTTTTATCATGTAAAGGGTTCTTTGAGTGTTCATTGTACTATACAGAACCACTTCTTGACGGAAGAACCCTTGAAAAACCATCTTTTTTCTACTAAATGAAACTCTTCTAGGAAACTTTGGTTTTCTGTGATATGTCCCTTTAAAAGCCAGCGTGTTTTAAAGGAGGGGATGGCTGTGATGTCAGAGGGTCGTGTGATCTGTGGATCAAAGCTCTGAGAGGAAAGTGTTGAAAGTGATGAGAGGTTATCTGATGGCGCGTTTGAGCCGACTCAGCCTTTTCGCTCTCTCTCTGTTCCCCTTTCCTCTATGACTGTCAGGCTTCCAGTGAAAGAGAGAGAGAGACAGAGCATGTATATAAACACTAACGCAGGGTCTCTCGCCCCTGATTCAGACTCACACACACTCACACACACACACACTCACACACACACACACACACACACTCTACTGTAGAGGTACGTTTAACTTCAGTGAATACTTCAGTTCGAGTGCCGCTGAGCTCACCTGTCCTCAGGGTCCTCAGGTGACGATGATGATGATGATGATGAAGACCTGGTCCAGCTGGTTTCCTCTGCGGCGTTTGGCGGTGATGACGTTCTCCTGCGGTTCTGTGATGATGCTCATCTCCGTGTGCGGTCAGTGTCTACTTTTTCTTAACATAGACGGTTCTTCAGGGGTTCTTTAGAGAGACAGTGGTTAATATGTAGAACCATGAACACTCAAAGAATCATCTGCATGGTTCTCTGCATGGTGAAGTGGTTCTTCAGACTGATGGAGAATGTGTTGTATGTGGTTCTATTGGAACCTAGCACCAAAAGGGTTCTTATATCGTCACAAGCTTGTACTGTAACTATAGCAGAACCCTATTTTGGTGCTATATAGAAGCACATACAACACATTCTCCATCAGTCTGAAGAACCATTTTACCATGTTTGAGCATGAAAGGTTCTTTGAATGTTCCTGGTTCTATATAGAACCACTGTCTTTATTAAACAAACCTTATAGAACCATCTTCTTTTAGAGTGCAGTGTGTGTGTTCAGTCCTACGCGCCCGCTAATGCTAATGCACTGTGTTTCTGGGGAACCTGACGGCTCTTTGAGTTCTGCTTAGGTTTGTCGTTGTTCTGCCTTAATCCCTGAAATATGAGGTACTCTAAATATTAAAGGGGAACTCCACCAATTTAACCAAATTTCTACATAATTAAATGGTTAGGATGTAAACAAAGTCATTCAGAGTGGCTTGGTGTGAAATGCTTTGGAGGGAGCACTGAAGGGAGGGGCTGTATTTGTTTTGGGGCGGGGCTTTGGAGGGAGCACTGAAGGGAGGGGCTGTATTTGTTTGGGGGCGGGGCTTTGGAGGGAGCACTGAAGGGAGGGGCTGTATTTGTTTTGGGGCGGGGCTTTGGAGGGAGCACTGAAGGGAGGGGCTGTATTTGTTTTGGGGCGGGGCTTTGGAGGGAGCGCTGAAGGGAGGGGCTGTATTTGTTTGGGGGCGGGGCTTTGGAGGGAGCACTGAAGGGAGGGGCTGTATTTGTTTTGGGGGCGGGGCTTTGGAGGGAGCACTGAAGAGAGGGGCTGTATTTGTTTTGGGGCGGGGCTTTGGAGGGAGCGCTGAAGGGAGGGGCTGTATTTGTTTGGGGGCGGGGCTTTGGAGGGAGCACTGAAGGGAGGGGCTGTATCATATCTCCGAGGGAGGGGCTGTATTTGTTTGTGGGCGGGGCTTTGGAGGGAACACTGAAGGGAGGGGCTGTATCATATCTCTGAGGGAGGGGCTGTATTTGTTTGTGGGCGGGGCTTTGGAGGGAGCACTGAAGGGAGGGGCTGTATCAAATCTCCGAGGCTGCCTTTAAATCATTGCTGTGTTCTCCTGTGCTGTGTGCAGATGTTCGGGGCAGCGGCTGGTCTGCTAACGTTCCCTCCTCCGTCAGTGGGGTGTCTGGGCTCTGTGTCCACATCCCTTGCAGCTTCACCTACCCTGGAGCGAAAGCACCGGCTGATAAGTTGACGGGGATCTGGTTCCAGGGCAACATGGAGCTTCAGGTTTATAACAGCAGGCACTGGGAGCTGGTGGACGCTCTGTTTCTGAACAGAACCAGACTGCTGGGTTCTCTGGACAGGAACGACTGCTCCCTGAAGATCGGCCTGCTGGGGTCCAGGGACGCCCACAAGTACACGTTCCGAATTGAGATAGAAGGCCGAGACCAATACACGTACAAGGACCAGCCGGTCACCCTCAGCGTGAGCGGTCAGTCTACAGGTTTAATACACCGGAGAACGAAGACGGGTCGTGTTAAATTACAGTGTCCACAAAAACAGGAAGCACAGCTCTCAGTATTAGTTTACAGTGTCTTCAATGTTTAGACGGAACACTGTAGGGAGGGGCTGTACTTCTTTGGGGGCGGGCCACTGGGGGAACACTGTAGGGAGGGGCTGTGTTTGTTTGGGGGAGGGGCTTTAGAGGGAACACTGTAGTAATGTTCAGTATGTACTAAAATAGCATATAAATAAAATGTTCAGGCTATTTTCAAAATAAAAGACACAAAAATGTGACATTAACACTTAAAAAAGATGGTTCTTTAAGGATTCTTTAGTGTAGAAAATGGTTCTACGTAGAACCTTAAACACTGGAAGAACCCTTTGCGTGATTAGAGGGTTCTTTGCATGGTGAAATGGTTTGTCAGATTGATGGAGAATGTGTTGTATATGGTTCTATATCGCACCAAAAAGGGTTCTGCTGTTGTTACAACAGTAGAACAACTAATTTAGGTGCTATATAGAACCATTTTCAAAAAAGAAATATAGAACCATACATTATGCATTCTCCATCAATCTGTAGAACCGTTTCACCATGCAAAGAACCACTTAATCATGCGAAGGATTCATGCATTGGGTGGAACCATTAGCTTTACTAAAGAACCCTCAGAGAACCATCTTTTTTAAGAGTGTACTATAGGATATGTGTACATTTTAAGCTATAACTTAAAGCCACATTGAAACTATGTTACTTGGTGCAACCAGTTAAAGTAGCCTGTAAATTCTAAAATTGTCCTTTCCCGCCGTCAGACAGCCCCCCGGCTCCCTCCATGCACTGTCCCGGCGTCCTGGCCGAGGGAGTCGCCGTGTCTCTGGTGTGTGCTGTGCTACATAACTGTCCCGACGCGGCTCCTGCGCTCCGCTGGAGCTCCGTTCAGGCCGAGCAGGCGGTCACTCAGTCGCAGGGCCGGCGGCGGGTCGAGCAGGGCTGGGAGGAGAGAGCGGTGCTGAATCTGCTGCCCTCTGCTGGAACTCATGGAGAACTGCTGCACTGCTCCGCTGTGTTCCCGAACGGGCTGATGCAGCGCGGGCCCGAGTGCAGGCTGGTGGTCAACTGTACGTCAAACTAGAGCTGAATGATATGACGACATTTATCGTTATCGTAATAAATTACGTCACATTATGTCACAATCTGCTTTGAACGTTTATAAACATGAGGGTTGGCTGTGCTTCTGGGTGGATAACGCATAGAGTCAGCGGCCCAAACTATTAATCATCCCTGACAATGGGCTGCCCTTCGCCCAGTGACCGCTGGGATAGGCTCCAGCTCCCCCGTGACCCACAAGGATAAGCGGTTTCAGAAAATGTGTGTGTAGAGAAAAGTTGTTGCCGAAATGCTTCAGAGATTTTATGGTTTAATAAGACCGTAACAATAAAGGCTTTTTAAAAAGAGACCGCCTTGGAGTTTTATAATACGTATAAAATATTTGAATTGCACGTCATCGTTTTCTAAAACAATCAGCACCCCCTGCGACCCAGGAGGATGAGCGGCTTAGAAGATGAACGAATGACTGAATTCTCTAATTAATCACGATCGTTTAATCACCCAGGTCTGAGCTCATGTTCTCACTTACTGTAAACACTTCTAATCTTTATAATCCCTGTTTCACTTCATGCTTCCAGATGCTCCCAAAACCGTGGTGGCGAGCGTCCTGTCTCCGCTGGGAACGGTTTCAGAAGGTGACACTGTGATTCTGTCCTGCCAGGCCGACAGTCACCCAGTGCCACACCTGTTCTCCTGGTTCCAGGGTCCGGAGGGCAGGGAGCAGCTGGTGAAGGGTCAGAGAGGGCAGGAGCTCTCAGTGGAGAAGATAGCGAGGAACGCCGGCCCGTTCTGGTGTGAAGTGGAGAACTCTATGGGTTCTGCTCGCTCTCAGCCGCTCGGACTGGATGTTCTATGTGAGCAACTCACAGTAATTATTTAAAAATAGTGAATGTTGTTGTAGGGAGGCTACAAAAGTCAGTCACTCATCAATTATTCAATTAATCATTTTAATTATAGAAAAATTTGGATGTATTTAGCTCTATAATGTTCATATGATCCACACAGTCACTCTGACAGACTGTAATACACTACAGGAAGTGTAGGGGGCGATATGGCTTCTACTGTTTCATTTAAAAAGCTCTATAATGTTCATATGATCCACACAGTCTCTCTGACAGACTGTAATACACTACAGGAAGTGTAGGGGGCGATATGGCTTCTACTGTTTCATTTAAAAAGCTCTATAATGTTCATATGATCCACACAGTCACTCTGACAGACTGTAATACACTACAGGAAGTGTAGGGGGCGATATGGCTTCTACTGTTTCATTTAAAAAGCTCTATAATGTTCATATGATCCACACAGTCACTCTGACAGACTGTAATACACTACAGGAAGTGTAGGGGGCGATATGGCTTCTACTGTTTCATTTAAAAAGCTCTATAATGTTCATATGATCCACATTTTTTTTCAGATGAGCCAGAGGTCATGAAGGAAAGCTGGTGCTCAGTGACCTCTGATCAGGAGGAGGAGCTAAGCTGTGAATGTGTCGCCTACGGCAACCCACTGCCCTCCATACACTGGACTGTCTTACATTCAGACGAGTGGATAAACGGTGAGAGCTACTTTCTCAGTGTGGGCTGGTTCAGAGGATCAGTGAGAAATAAGTGTCTATAAAACAGTTTTACTGTAAATCACTGCACAAAAATACAGAACTGACTGAGACTGAGAAGGAAAATAACGAGTCCACATGTATTTGCAGGTCACATGAACGTATCTCAGTCAGAAGGACACAAATCTGTGGTGAACCTCAGCGCTTCACCACCGTGGAACCACACAACCACAGAGCTGGTCATACTGTGTGTGGCTGAAAACAGCTTGGCGTCCACCTCCAGGGCTTTCACACTGACCCGCAACAGTGAGCTCCAAATCTACTGTTACCTACTGTAGATCTGATACTCTCAATGTACAAAAATATCCAGACACCCTTTTAAATAGTGAATTTGGATGAGTTGGAAAGATGAAGGCCACTGAACATGTTAGGGATGAGTTGGATTGATGGAGCTCCATTGAACACCGTTAGTAGGAGTCCTCCATCCAATACGTTTGAAAGCTCCATCATTAGGGCTAATATGGAGGGTTGGAGCCCTATTGAACACCTTTGGGCTGAGTTGGAGTGATGGAGCTCCACTGAACGCCTTTGGATGAGTTGGAGTGATGGAGCTCCACTGAACATGTTTGGGATGAGTTGGAGTGATGGAGCCCTATTGAACATCTTTGGGATGAGTTGGAGTGATGAAGCTCCACTGAACGCCTTTGGATGAGTTGGAGTGATGGAGCTCCACTGAACATGTTTGGGATGAGTTGGAGTGATGGAGCTCCACTGAACATGTTTGGGATGAGTTGGAGTGATGGAGCTCCACAGAACGCCTTTGGATGAGTTGGAGTGATGGAGCTCCACTGAACGCCTTTGGATGAGTTGGAGTGATGGAGCTCCACTCAACACCTTTGGGATGAGTTGGAGTGATGGAGCTCCACTCAACACCTTTGGGGTGAGTTGGAGTGATGGAGCTCCACTGAACACCTTTGGGATGAGTTGGAGTGATGGAGCTCCACTGAACACCTTTGGATGAGTTGGAGTGATGGAGCTCCACTGAACACCTTTGGGATGAGTTGGAGTGATGGAGCTCCACTGAACACCTTTGGGATGAGTTGGAGTGATGGAGCTCCACTCAACACCTTTGGATGAGTTGGAGTGATGGAGCTCCACTGAACATGTTTGGGATGAGTTGGAGTGATGGAGCTCCACTGAACATGTTTGGGATGAGTTGGAGTGATGGAGCTCCACTCAACACCTTTGGGATGAGTTGGAGTGATGGAGCTCCACTGAACATGTTTGGGATGAGTTGGAGTGATGGAGCTCCACTGAACACCTTTGGGATGAGTTGGAGTGATGGAGCTCCACTCAACACCTTTGGGATGAGTTGGAGTGATGGAGCTCCACTGAACATGTTTGGGATGAGTTGGAGTGATGGAGCTCCACTGAACATGTTTGGGATAAGTTGGAGTGATGAAGCTCCACTCAACACCTTTGGGATGAGTTGGAGTGATGGAGCTCCACTGAACATGTTTGGGATAAGTTGGAGTGATGGAGCTCCACTGAACATGTTTGGGATAAGTTGGAGTGATGGAGCTCCACTGAATGCCTTTGGATGAGTTGGAGTGATGAATATGATCTAGAACTAATCTGACCTCACCAATGCTTATTTTTGGGTGTCTGGATACTTTTGGATATATAGTGTAGATTAGGTTGAAGCTAATCATCTTATAAAGGTTAATAAATAGTCCTTGGTTTGGGTGGATGGTACGAGGGAAACCCCTTTTACTGGCATAGAACTTTATATTACGTGGAGGTTCAGTGAACTTCAACCCCCACAGTTTGACGATGTTGTTTACAACATCAAAGGACATCATACACAAAAGAATAAATCTTGGGAACGCTGCGTGCTGCATACGTCACTTACGCAATCATTTTAGTGCATCTAGGTCGATGTTTATATTTAGAATTACATGGGACTCTTATTGTGATAGCATTATCGTCCCCCCTGAATGCTATTGTGAGAGACGTGCTGGTAAAACAAGCAGTTACTTATTTATTTTAATTATTCTGTTTTTTTAATTTTATCTTTGCGCTAGTTGTGGCTAAATTACAGTTATAAACTGCAAAAAATGGCATCTTGACAAGTGAAATGATCTGAAATCTAGTCAACATACGTATTTCTCATTTTGAGATAGCTGTAAGTTCACTATAAGATCATTTCATTTATTTCTAGACACTGTTTACTTGTTTTCAGTGATTTTATTCAGTCATATTATCTCAGTATATTGGCAGATAATTTGGCTTCACTTGTTTTAAGCATATTTCTTCCAACAAGCAAAATTATCTGCCAGATTTCAAGACAATTTGACTTAAAACAAGTAGGAAAACTCTAGAAGTATGTTAAATCATCTGATAATAACATTCTTAAAATGGGAAATATCAGATATATCATCTAGATTTAAGATAATTTCACTCGCCAAAATACAACTCTCTGGAAGACTTTTATTTTGAAGGCACCTTTATTTTGAAGAGTAAAGCTGGTGTTTCTCCTATATTTGTGTGTTAATGTTCTCAGCCACATCAGAAGTTTCAGCCGTGTCCACTCAGAGAAGCTTGTGGTCAGTGTGGGCTCCCCTGATGTGTTTGGGTCTGACCGTCATGGTCGTACTCGCCGGCTATCTGCTGCGCTCCCGCAGAGCCGGTAAGTTCCCTGTGTAACAGCTGGAGTCAAACCATTAGAGGAGTTTATCGCAATTAATCTCATTATTTTGTGCTGCTAATCATGACGAACCGCTTTTGTCTTATTTGCTCAAATACAACCCTAAAAAATATTTGTTTTCATTTATTAAGAAGTGCATTATGTTATAAATATATAAGTGGACTAAATAAACTTCACCAGAACACAGTTATTACCTTCAATAACATTATTTTGAACACAAACATGAACATGAAAATCACAGGATGTGCATCAAAAAGTGAACACAGTTTCAAATTTTGCAGTGAGAGCAACAGTGTCTGCACGTTCTAACCAATGAATGTATATATCATATACACTGTCAATGAGTGTGTATATATATATATATATATATATATATATATATATATATATATATATATATGCAGACTTAATAAATATATATATAATTTATAATCAATGACTGTATATATCTTATTTATTATACACACTCTCAATGACTATATGTAATATATATTTTATATACACTCAGTGAGTGTATGTATCGTATACATCATATATATAATAAATGAGTGCACATATCATACAAATCATATATACAGTCACTCAATGTATGTATCATTTCTATCATATATACAGTCGGTGGTTCAGCTCCTTTGTGATTGTATCTCTCGCTCTCGTTCATTCAGCTCTTGGGTTCTTGTTACAGTGAAGGTTCTCGAGGGGAACTGGAGCTCCACCAGCTGCTGCTTCTGTTAGTTTAATTTATCCATAGTTCTCCTGCGAGAGTCTGTTCTGGTGCTGAAGGTTTCACTTTAAAAGACGTTTAAAAGCTGTATTCGAACACGAGCGCAACAGTCAAGCTGCAAAATACAGGGGTCCCTGTACTTTGGACCCCCGAATGTCTCAAAATCTAAATTCTGGGGGTCCCTGAAAATAAACTTATTATGACGTTATGCTGTAATGCAGAGCAGAAGCTCAAATCCAGACTCAGCGAAGCTGATTGTTTACCTGCTTCCCCCACAATCAGCTTCTGTCTCTGGGGTTCTTAACTAACTAGAGCTGCAGCTCTGCTCTGCCTCAGGGTGGCGCTGTAGCAGACTGGTTCACCCAGTTGGTCCGTCATAGCCTAGAAACTGTAACTCTGCCCGGATTCCTCTGAAACACTTTACAATGAGCTGCAGCAGATCTGTAAATCTGAAAACTCGCCCAGTTTCCCAAGAGTTTGGAGTGAAGAGTGACTGTTCCTCATTTCTCACACTGAAGACAGAAGAGGAGACGAGGAAGATCTGAGTTACTGTGAGGAAGAGCGCAGAACCGCACTAGAACAGAGACTCTACAGAAGAGGAGACGAGGAAGATCTCAGTTAATGTGAGGAAGAGCGCAGAACCGCACTAGAACAGAGACTCTACAGAAGAGGAGACGAGGAAGATCTCAGTTACTGTGAGGAAGAGCGCAGAACCGCACTAGAACAGAGACTCTACAGAAGAGGAGACGAGGAAGATCTCAGTTAATGTGAGGAAGAGCGCAGAACCGCACTAGAACAGAGACTCTACAGAAGAGGAGACGAGGAAGATCTCAGTTACTGTGAGGAAGAGCGCAGAACCGCACTAGAACAGAGACTCTACAGAAGAGGAGACGAGGAAGATCTCAGTTAATGTGAGGAAGAGCGCAGAACCGCACTAGAACAGAGACTCTACAGACGAGGAGACGAGGAGGATCTCAGTTAATGTGAGGAAGAGCGCAGAACCGCACTAGAACAGAGACTCTACAGAAGAGGAGACGAGGAAGATCTCAGTTACTGTGAGGAAGAGCGCAGAACCGCACTAGAACAGAGACTCTACAGAAGAGGAGACGAGGAAGATCTCAGTTACTGTGAGGAAGAGCGCAGAACCGCACTAGAACAGAGACTCTACAGGAGAGGAGACGAGGAAGATCTCAGTTACTGTGAGGAAGAGCGCAGAACCGCACTAGAACAGAGACTCTACAGGAGAGGAGACGAGGAAGATCTCAGTTACTGTGAGGAAGAGCGCAGAACCGCACTAGAACAGAGACTCTACAGAAGAGGAGACGAGGAAGATCTCAGTTACTGTGAGGAAGAGCGCAGAACCGCACTAGAACAGAGACTCTACAGAAGAGGAGACGAGGAAGATCTCAGTTACTGTGAGGAAGAGCGCAGAACCGCACTAGAACAGAGACTCTACAGAAGAGGAGACGAGGAAGATCTCAGTTACTGTGAGGAAGAGCGCAGAACCGCACTAGAACAGAGACTCTACAGAAGAACAGCTGATAAAACAGACATTTACTGACACTGAAGCTTCAGCGCCGCTATGGAGAGAGAGTTAGAGAGAGTTAGCAGATAGTAAGGGACCCCCGAATACCAGGGGGGGTTTAGACACCGCCTACACTCACAGATTCAGGTCACAGAGCCGAAAACAGCACTGAAAGTGAAAAGGAGGAACAGAAACACAACACAAGACACCACAGCTGTAAATCTGTGACCTTTATAATAATTCAGTTTGATTATGATTCTTCAGAAAAGCTTTCAATGAATCATGAAATTTCAAATTTCACCAAAATTCAGTTCTGTTTGCTGCAGTGGTGAAAGTAGCCAAACATGGTTTAACAAAACTCTTAACTTAAAGCACTGAAGTAAAACTACACATCAGTGAATGCTGTCTGATCCCAATTACAAACACAGTGCCCCCTGGTGGTGGTTAACCATACCAGACAAACACAATGGAATTCATTCCATTTATATGTTCAATTCGGTATTATTTAATATAGTAGAGTATATAAATATGGCTGGAGGAGCTTTTTTACACAGAGAGAAATAAAAACAGCGCAACAAGCTTTTTAATGTTTGAAAATGGCCTGAAAATTTGACTTTGGTCAAAATATTTGCACACATTTGAATACTATTCAGTGCAGTTAAACCACCTTTAAATCAATGCATCTACACACTTTTACACCCTGCAAAGCCAACATTCAGCACCAGAACACACATTTAACAGAAAACAACACACCAGCTCACTCTACTCTCAGCTGTGTGAGTCAGTGAGTCACTCTTTCCCTTTATTCCAGCTTCCATTCTTTTCAGGAGCCTCACTTTCAGTTCCTCAAAGAATCTGCAGACACACCTCCGAAGTTCAGTCTTAGAAGCTGGTTGATCATTTTCTGAAGTAATCAAACACATTCAGTGGTGTTGAGGTCTGGACTCTGGGGTGGTCAGTCCATCGTTCAGCTTCTTTGTTTGATGTGTCCGTCTCCTTTTCTCAGTGAGGTTCTTCTTGATCAGGTACACATCCTTTCAGACCCACAGCGCTGAGTCGTCTTCTCACAGTGGAAGGATGGACAGAAACACCTGTGGATGTTTTCAGATCTGATCAGCTTGATTTTCTCCTCTCTCTCAGAGATGAAAGCTTTAAGTGCTGTTTATCTGATGGGGGCAGTTTTGGGGTCGACCAGCTCTTCCAGGTGGTTGTTAGGAGACACATTTTCTCTGGAGCTTTTAATAAATTTTGGAAACTTCTGTTCTTTGACTTTATGCAAGTGGATCATTGTATATCTGATCTCCTCACAAATATCTCCTGATTAATAACTGAAGGGTGGACACTGTACAGAGAAATCTTCAAACACAGTAACGTGAATGACTGAAGGTCCAGTTAGAAAAATAAGCTGTTGTTCTTGTTTGATTAGCGTGTCTGATGAAAATGGAGCCGACTCGGCCCGAGATGCTGTAAACTTCACTGCTGTGACCCGTTAGCACTGTGAGTACACAAACAGAATCAATAGATTTAAAAATGTAAAACTCAGTTTTAATCATAAGTGAATCATAAACAGAAGGGATGTGATATTATAGCCATTTCATGCTAAGAGTGTCTGTATGATGACTAACCTTCAAGCATAAAAATGAAAATTGACAGTGACCAAAGTTTAACAGTGCTTAAAGTTAGAGACTACATTATTTAAATATGTAAATTTAATGATGAATTATTAATGAGAATGCTAGTCTGATGTTATGATGTGTTGGCAAATTTACAAAGCAGCTCTGAAATTTGAAAATGCAAATATATCAGAGTATAACAGTGCTCCAAACATTAATTAATGCACATCATTTGTGTTTCCGCATATTTTATTGCACTTTACCATCTGGCAATAATTGTTTGTTACAGGAAACTCATCATAACGAGACGCAACATCATGCCGACTTCTGTGGACGGAAGAATGTAATTTGAAAAGCATTATTTAACGCAAATTACACATTAACAAATTGTAATTGAGCAATTTGAACAAACTGTTTATACTTTTTCTCTTTTTATAACATTAATAACGATGTATTTGGAGATATTCTTTACAAAAAAATGTAAAATAAAAACATTGATAATGATACAAAGTGTTTTTTCTGTGTGTGATAAAATGTGAGATATTATGCTGTAAACATTGAAGCCATCCAAACTCAGTCAATCAGCAAAGACATCATCTTTAGTTTTAGCACTGGAGCTACGAGGCTAATGTGGCTAACAAGTAATGGCAGCTTATGCCCCACCAATTAGCGTGGTGCTAACTGCAGGCCTACATCATCACCACTCTCAGAGACCCCTCTGTCTCAGCTGTCTTGGCTGATTGAGTTCATTCAGGGCGAGAGCCGTAGGTTAGATCAGACGCTCGAGCTCAGATGACCTCCACGTAGATGGCCGTGTCCGGATCGGTGGTCTCAGGTATGCGTGTGTCTCTCGCTCTCTGGTCCGCAGTGTTGTCTCTGTCTCTCTCTCTCTGGGCTCTCAGTCTGCGGGCTCCTCTCCTCTGTCTCTTATGGATCTGTAAGGAGAGAGAGAGGCTTCAGCCAGACGTGGGAACCAGCCACTAAGACCCCATTCACTCCTGGTCACTTCCTGTGTCCAGTATCTGGATTGTGTCCTGATAAGATTTTTGTCTCATGCATTTACAGTTGGGAGTTAAATGCATCTCTGGTTACTGAAATTGCTGTGGGACGGAATATGCAAATCAGCTCATTACACGGCGACCAGTCAGCGACTGTTTATTAAGTCGTCTGCGGTTTGTTTTGCACACGTCACTATTCAGCATTTAGTTTCGTCCCCAACCATGTGTGTCCCAGGGACGCACTGCACAGGGAGGAGCTTCGGATGTACTGGGAGGAGCTTTGGTACTACTGATAGGGCTTTTGGTTGAACAGGGGAGTTTTGTTTGTTACTGGAAGGTATTTTGGTTACACTGGGAGGAGCTTTGGTTGTACTGGGAGGAGTTTTGGTACTACTGATAGGGCTTTTGGTTGAACAGGGGAGTTTTGTTTGTTACTGGAAGGTATTTTGGTTACACTGGGAGGAGCTTTGGTTGTACTGGGAGGAGTTTTGGTTGTACTGGGAGGAGTTTCGGTTGTACTGGGAGGAGTTTCGGTTGTACTAGGAGGAGTTTGGTGGTACTGAGAGGGGTTTTGGTTGTATGGGGGAGTTTTGTTTGTTACTGGAAGGTGTTTTGGTTGTATTGGGAGGAGTTTTGGTTGTACTGGGAGGGGTTTTTGTTTGTACTGGGACGAGTTTTGGTTACACTGGGAGGAGCTCTGGTTGTACTGGGAGGAGTTCTGGTTAAACTGGGAGCAGCTTCGGTTGTATTGGGAGGGATTTTGGTTGTACTAGGAGGAGTTTTGGTCGTATTTGGAGAAGCTTTCATAGCACTAGGAGGAGTTCTTGTTAAACTGGGAGTGGTTTCAGTTGTACTGGGAGGAGTTTCAGTGGTACTGGGAGGAGTTTCAGTGGTACTGGGAGGGTTTTGATTGTACTGGGAGGAGTTTCAGTTGTACTGCAAGAAATTTCAGTTGTACTAGGAGGAGTTTTGGTTGTACTGGGAGGGGGGTTTGGTTGTACTGGGAGGAGTTTAAATTGTACTGGGAGGGGTTTCAGTGGTAGTGGGAGGGGTCTTGTACTGGGAGGAGTTTCAGTTGTACTGTGAGGGGTTTTTAATTGTACTGGGAGGAGTTTTGGTTGTACTGGGAGGAGTTTTGGTTGTAATGGGAGGGGGTTTGGTCGTACTGGTAGGAGTTTAAGTTGTATTGGGAGGAGTTTCAGTTGTAATGGGAGGGGTCTTGTTGTACTGGGAGGAGTTTCAGTTGTAATGGGAGGGGTCTTGTTGTACTGGGAGGAGTTTCAGTTGTACTGGGAGGGTTTTGATTGTACTGGGAGGAGTTTCGGTTCTACTGGGAGGAGTTTAAATTGTACTGGGAGGGGTTTCAGTGGTAGTGGGAGGGGTCTTGTACTGGGAGGAGTTTCAGTTGTACTGTGAGGGGTTTTTGATTGTACTGGGAGGAGTTTAAGTTGTATTGGGAGGAGTTTCAGTTGTAATGGGAGGGGTCTTGTTACTGGGAGGAGTTTAAATTGTACTGGGAGGAGTTTTGGTTGTACTGGGAGGAGTTTCGGTTGTACAGGGAGGGGTTTTGGTTGTTGAATGTGGTTGTCGTCTTGGAGAGACGGATGTGTTTACGCTGCTATAATGCGGCTCTAATGCGTCTCAGTTCACCTCCTGAAGTGCTCTGAGTGATCAGATCTGTATCTGTTTTAAATTCATCTTTGCTGTGTTTACACTTATTTTTATGTGGCCTCATCCAGATATGATCCTGATACTCAAGAGGCATGAAGTGACCAGGTGTAAACAGGGTCTAAGTTGCAAGTAACAAGTAAGTCTCTAGTCTTGACACTCGAGTCCCGATTCAAGTCATCCGAGTCTTGATTCAGGTCTCGAGTCAGTAAAGGCCGGTCTCAAGTCGGGTCCCAAGTCTTAATCTTCAAGACTTAAACAAGTCAGTCTGCATTCTTCAGCTAATTTAAGGCCACAACACTGAACACCAAAAATGATGGTAACAGTTATACAGCCTTTTAATGACAGCATGTTACTGTGTGTGGCTGTATATTCATTTTTTATTCATTTGGGAAATGAATGTAGCGTAACCATGGAAATGAGTGTGGCGTAACCATGGAAATAGGTGTAGCATAACCATGGAAATGGGCGTGGAAATGAGTGTAGCGTTTCTATGGAAATCAGTGTAGCGCAACCATGGAAATGGGCGTGGAAATGAGTGTAGCGTTTCTATGGAAATCAGTGTAGCGCAACCATTGAAATGGGCTTGGCCCAACAATGTAAACGATGGTCAGCTCATTTTGCCGATGCGAGCGTTCGCGTACCTGTTTGGTGCGGACGAAGCAGGGCGTGCAGTTCTGGTAGATGAGCTGGTAGCTGCCGTTGGTGTAGATGTTTGTGACCTCAGCGCAGTTGATGTAGAGCGGCAGGCGGTCCTGATAAACGCTGTCCTCAAACACGGGGGGCCTGCAGCTCATCAGCCGCCGCCTTCTAACAAGGTCAGGAGAGGTCAGGAACGGTCAGGATAACGTTTCTGTAGCAGCAGAGTGATCAGACTAGAGGAGCTCTTACCTTCCTGCTCTTCTGCAGCGGCACAGCAGCAGAACCAGGAGGAAGAGGAGGAGGAGGAAGAGGAAGACTACACACACCGCAGGCATCAGCGTCCACAGACTGTCTACAGGACACAGACATGTATACAATACATTCAGGCAAAGCGCTACTACGATAAATCACAACAAATCTGTAGTTATAATTGATTGTTTGCAAAAAAATGACTGATGATCAAAGCTGTGCTTCTTCCTCCACCACTCAGCAGAACTCCTCAGGACAGTCTTGCACTGAGAACGGCAGCAGCAGTGAATTAGCATAATCAGAGCTATTAGAGAGGTTAAATAAATGATAAACACATTTACATACATTCATTTTTGTCTATGTGTAATATTTCCCGCATACATTTCAAAATAAGTGCGGTGTAAAATATATTTGGCTACTATGGCAAAATATTCTGAAATCCATTTTAGAATGTATTTCAGCATCGACTGCAGTGTCTAGGAAATGCATTGCAAATATATATGAATACCTGTCCGTATATTTTTGTTCCATATGGGTAGAGACCCAGCTGATCTGTCAGTTTGGCAATCGCCATGCCAACGCCAGAGATGACACTGATTGGTCAGAAAGTTCATGTAGCATTTTGTGGTTGTCAGGTTTTGGCAAATATGACAGCTATTAATATCTAACCTTTCTTGCCTTGATGAACACCTTTTATTCCCTTCTTCCCATTTTTCTCTTTATTCTATCGTGACGATTGGTAACTATGAGCATGTATGTCCAAGGGTAACTGTACCAGTAAACTTCACTTTGTATGCAAATAAAATGTCTTTTCTAAAAAGTAAAATCGCTTTTTTGTTGTCTGAAGAATTCATTCTGGTGCACAATATGGACAAAAGTATTGGGACAAACCTCTTAATCACTGAATTCAGGAGTTTCATTCAGTCTCGTTACCACAGGTGTATAAAATCAAGCTCCCAGCCCCTGCAGCCTGACTTTACACACATCAGTGAAAGAGAGGGTCTAAAGAGCTCAGTGGGTTCCAGCGTGGTTCTGTAATAGGAGGCCACCATTTCAACAAGTCAGTTTGCGAAGGTTCTTCCCTCCTAGACTTTCCACGATCAGCTGTGAGTATATTATTGAAGAGTGGAAGCGTTTAGGAACCACAGCAGCTCAGCCACGAAGAGTCTGACCACGTAAAGATGTTCGAATAGAGCATAAAAGACCCCAACGCTCTGATCAATAACTGCAGAGTTCAAACCTCCTCTGGATCAACATCAGCACAGGAACTGCACCGGGAGCTTCACGGCAGGGTTTCCATGGCTGAGCAGCTGCATGAAGCCTTACATCACCAAGCACAATGCAGAGCGTCGGCTGGAGTAAAGCGCCGCCGCTGGACTCTGGAGCAGTGGAACCGTGTTCTGTGGAGTGACCAACCTTCTCTATCTGTCAGTCTGATGGACGAGTCTGGGTTTGGCGAATGCCAGGAGAACGTTACCTGCCTGACTGCACTGTGCCAGCTGTAGAGTTTGGTGGAGGAGGGATGATGATACGGGGCTGTTTTTCAGGGGTTGATCTAGAACCCTCAGTTCCAGTGAAGGGGAATCTTAAAGCTTCAGCACCAAGACATTCTGGACAACTGTACACTTCCAACTTTGTGGAACAGTTTGGGGAAGAACCTTTCCTGTTCTAGCATGACTGAGCCCCAGTGACCAAAGCAGCTCCATAAAGGCCTGACTGGGGGAGTTTGGTGTGGAGGAGCCTGACTGACCCTCACAGAGCCCTGACCTCAACCCCATCCTTTAGGATGAACTAGAACAGAGATTGTGAGCCAGACCCTCT